CCCCCGCCGCGCCCCAGACAGCCCCCCCCCCCCGCCCCGGCAAAGCCACGCCACGCCAAACGAGCACGCCCATCAGCATGGCCTCTGGCCGCCTGGGAAAGGCACCATCAACACGAATCCCACGTGGGTGCTTTGCCAGCATGGGCACACATGACTCAAAGCAGCCTGGCTTAGAGGGTAAAAGGGTTTAAGGGGCACAGAGATAGTCCCTCGAGCCACCTTAACCCTGCAGGAAGGCAAGAGCCGGCAGCCAAAATGCACGTCCCTGCTCGGCTTCCCCCTGTGATGCTCCAGTGGATGGGCATGGAGGGGGGACGCACGCCCGTCCCCTCCTTCCCAGCTCCAAAATGAGCTGCTAAAACGTACCTGCTTTGCACGACTGAGATATAAATCACTAAGAGCTGTTACTAGAGGAACTTAGCGGGTGCAGATGTGTCAGCCCAGTTGAAAACATCTTCATCTTTGCTCAGCTCTCCGCAACAGCATGGGGGAAGAGGTACGGCCCGGTGACTCACCACCGAGAGGGGATGTGACTGATGGGGAGGTGAGATACCAGCGACCGCACAAACCGCACACCAAACGTCTGGAGGCCAGAGGTCGCGCCGGGGGAAGCGGGAGGGAAGCGGGCCCCACGTGCTCAGCCCGCTTGGGGTTTGCCCAACGCTCCCCGGCAGGAGGGAGCCACCAGAAAACATCGCCTGGCCGAGGCGGCAAAGGTGGGCGGGCGGACGTGGGCGCTGAGGGGCCGGTGCATGCCGCCACTCACCCGGAGCTTTTAACCTTCAGGCTCTCTCTGTCCCGCTGGTCCTCTGGCCTGAAATTCGGCCCCAGCCGGACAAGACGGAGCGAACCAGGCAGGAGCGGGACACGCTGGAGCTGAATGCGTCTCCCCCACACACTGCTTCAGCCGATGAGCCAGGCTACACGCCTGATGCGACACGTGTGTCTGCCTGCACGGGGAAAGCGGCTCCAGCCCAGCTCGGCTGCAGGCCGACACCTTCACGGCATCCCCACGCTGCCCTCC